CCCCCCTCCCCCGCCCGCCACTCACTCTCCCGACTATCTTGATCCCCGAATGCAGCTTCCTTCTCCTTCGCGCTGGATGCCCCGGCGCAGGGGTTCACCGAGGACTTCGCCCGGCTGTGCGGTGGTGATGCCTCCGGCCTGGAGCCGGGCTTCGCGCCTGCCAGCTCCGTGGAGGATGCCCTCGCCGGGCTGACCTCGCTGCTGGTGCTCGGCCCGCTGACCCCCCTGGTGGCCAGCCACTTCCGGCCGCTTCTGCCGGAGCTGGTGAGCCGCGCCACCGCGCGGGACTTTGTCCCTGCCCAGCATCCCTGGCATGCCGCTGCCCTGGCTGCCCTGCCTCCGGGCCTGGTTGACACGGACAAGCTGCTGGACATCTATGAGCAGGTGGCCATCGCGCTGGCCTGCGTGCTGCCCTCCTCGGAGCACCTCCTCCAGTACGCGCGCGCGCGCGCGCGCCCCCCCCCCCCCCGCCCTTTTGTGCCTTCTCCCTGGCTCTCCTCGCTCTTTCTGACTCCCTTCCTCCTGTGTCGCACCAAACAGGCCGATCCTCGGCTTCTTCGCCGGCGCCCCGGCCCTCTTCGAGGGGATCCTCCGGCGCCTGCCGACCAGCGAGCAGCCGGTGGCCATGCCGTCGAACCAGCTGCGCGCCTTCGTGCGCCTCGCGCGCGCCTGCTTCGTCCTGCTCAGCCATGCCGGGGATTTCTTCGGGTCCCGCTGGGACTGGTCCGGCTTCGTGCCGCTGCTGGACACCAGCGCCCGGCGCCTTGTGGCCGAGTCGCCCGAGCAGTCGGAGTCCCTGGCCGTGTTGGCCTTCCTGGCGGCCGAGATCACGGCCCGCCTGCTGAATGCCAGCGACTTCACCCGGCAGGCGCTGCTGGACGCGGCGGCCAGCAAGCGTGCGAGCCTGCAGTCGGCCGAGCATGGCCCGGCCCCCTCGAAGTTCTCCTACCTGCTGACCAGGTGTGTCTGTGACTGTCCTTCTTTCCGCCTCCCCCCCCCTCCCCTTTCTCCCTCCTTGCCTGCTCGTTCCCTCCCTGGTCGGCGCCTGGGTTTTTTTTTTTTTTTCCTTTCCCGCCGGCTTGCGTGTCGGTGCGCGTCGCCAATTCTCACACGCCAATCATGCGCCGCCGGTGCGGCCGGAAACGCCCCAGCTACGAGAGCACCGTCCTGGACCCCTACACGTATGGACTGTTTGCGCGGTCGCTGCTGGCGTCCGGGCATGCGGCGGCCCCTGGCGGCCGTGCCGGACGCCTGGATCTCAGCGATCTTGTGGTCACGGCCGGGCACCTGGGCCCGGCCGTGTGCGATGTCAGTGGCCTGCTGCTGAATCGCTTTTCGATCCACTCCACCCCGGGGAGCGGGCTGGTGCGCGCCGATGCGCCGTCCTCCCTCGGCCGTAAGCCCGGCCTGGTGCCCATCGACACGACCGTGCAGAACCTCCGCCGTTTGGGGTTCGCCTATTCCCTGAGTGCGCCGGTGCTGCTGCATGGCCCGGCTGGCGCGTGTGCTCTTCCGATCTCGCTTTTCGATCCACTCCACCCCGGGGAGCGGGCTGGTGCGCGCCGATGCGCCGTCCTCCCTCGGCCGTAAGCCCGGCCTGGTGCCCATCGACACGACCGTGCAGAACCTCCGCCGTTTGGGGTTCGCCTATTCCCTGAGTGCGCCGGTGCTGCTGCATGGCCCGGCTGGCGCCGGCAAGACCTCCCTGGTGGAGGAGCTGGCCCGGGCCACCGGGCAGCCGGAGCTCCTGAAGATCCACCTCGGCGACCAGACCGATGGCAAGGCCCTGCTCGGGACCTATGTGTGCACCGATGTGCCCGGGGAGTTCCGCTGGCAGGCCGGTGTCCTGACGCGCGCCGTGTCCGAGGGCCTGTGGGTCTTGATCGAGGACATCAATCTGGCCCCGATGGACGTGGTGTCAGATCGGAAGAGCACACGTCATCCACCTCGGCGACCAGACCGATGGCAAGGCCCTGCTCGGGACCTATGTGTGCACCGATGTGCCCGGGGAGTTCCGCTGGCAGGCCGGTGTCCTGACGCGCGCCGTGTCCGAGGGCCTGTGGGTCTTGATCGAGGACATCAATCTGGCCCCGATGGACGTGGTGTCGGTGCTGGTTCCGCTCCTGGAGACGCGCACGCTCTTCCTGCCGGCGCGCAATGAGCGCGTTGTGGCTAGCCCGAACTTCCAGCTGTTTGCCACGGTGACCAGCGTCGGGGGCGTCGGTGGTGTGCGCGGCGATGCGCCGGCCACCGTCGCCGATGCTTCGTCTCTGTCTTCCGAGATGGAGGCCGACAGCACCGGCGGGGCGCCTGGCTCGGAGGAGGAGGATGCCCCCTCGGCGGGTGCCACCGCCGGCGCCTTGCCCTGTGAGGGCGATGACCTCTTTGGCAGCGAGGATGCCGGTGCTCAGGGCTCCCTGCCGGGGACCGCTGAGATCCCGGAAAATCTCTGGCTCCATGTCCGTGTGGATCCCCTGACGCAGAAGGACCTGGCTCAGATCATCGAGGCACGGTTCCCCCAGTGCCGGGGGTTCTTCCCGTCCCCGGGCATGGAGGTGTTCAATGTGGCCCGGCATGGGCTGCTGAACACTTCCGGTGCTTTGAGCAGCCCGGCGGCCGGCGGTGCGCGCATTCTCTCGGCCCGCGACCTCTTCAAGTGGTGCTCGCGCCTGGAGCGCTATAGCACCGGCTCCGCGAACCTGACCCAGGCCACTCGCGAGCTGCTGTTCCGCGTGCGTCGATCCGCTCTTTTGTTGTCCGCCTGGGTGCCCCCGGCCTCCCCCCCCTGTGTCCATTTGCCCTGCCCCGATCTGTGACCTCGCATGTGGTCTCCCTACTGACCGTGCTTTCCTTTGCTGCATCCTCCTCCTCTCTTCTTCGAATGCCCCCACCCGCACACGCGCACATCCACACGCACACACACACACACACACACACACACACGCACACACGCACACACACACAGGAGGCCCAGGATTGCTTCCTTGGGGTGCTGCCAGATGGCCCCCGGCGCCGGCATGCTCTGGCCGGCATTGCGGCCGTGCTCGGCCTGCCGCATGACGAGGCGGCCCTCGACGCCAGCGCGCACTCCTATCGACCGGTGCGCATGCGCTCGGAGAAGGTCTTCACCATCGGCCGGGCGTCGTTGCCGACCGTCCGGCCGGAGCCCCTCGGCGGCGCTCCCTTCGCCTGGACCGGGGCGGCGCTGCGCAATATGGAGCGCATCGCCGCGGCCGCGCAAATGAATGAGGCCCTGCTGCTGGTCGGTGAGACCGGTACCGGCAAGACCACCATCGTCCAGCAGCTGGCCAGCCAGCTTGGCCGGCCGCTGACCGTGGTCAACATGAGCCAGCAGAGCGAGTCGACCGATCTGCTGGGCGGCTTCAAGCCGGAGAACGCGCGCAATCTGTGTGCTCCCCTGCTGGACACCTTCACCGAGCTCTTCGGGGCCACCTTCTCCCGGCGAGCGAACCAGCGCTTCCTGGACAGCGTGCAGAAGGCCTACCGGGACCAGCGCTGGTCCCGGCTGTTGGTTCTCTTCGCCAGTGCGGTGAAGATGGCCTGGAAGAAGATCGGCGCCGAGGGGGCGCCCCTCCCGGCGCCCGGTGGCTCGACCGGCCCGGTGGAGGAGGGCAGCCCGCCGCCGGCCAAGCAGGCCAAGCTGCTGGCGCCCTCGGCCTCGGAGGTCACGCGGCTGCGTGCCCGGTGGGCCGCCTTCGAGGCGGATGTCCGGCGTTTCTCCTCGCAAAAGCAGCAGCTGGAGAGCAGCTTCCTCTTTGCCTTTGTGGAGGGCGTCCTGGTGAAGGCGGTCCAGGCCGGGCATTGGGTCCTGCTTGATGAGATCAACCTGGCCACCACCGAGACCCTGGAGTGCCTGTCCGGGCTGCTGGAATCGCCGACCGGGTCGCTGGTGCTGACCGAGCGCCCGGGCGATGATGTGGTGGTGCACCGGCATCCGGATTTCCGGATTTTCGCCTGCATGAACCCGGCCACGGATGTCGGCAAGCGGGATCTGCCGCCGGGGGTCCGGTCGCGCATGACCGAGCTCTACATCGGGGAGCTGGAGAGATCGGAAGAGCGTCGTGCTGCTGGAATCGCCGACCGGGTCGCTGGTGCTGACCGAGCGCCCGGGCGATGATGTGGTGGTGCACCGGCATCCGGATTTCCGGATTTTCGCCTGCATGAACCCGGCCACGGATGTCGGCAAGCGGGATCTGCCGCCGGGGGTCCGGTCGCGCATGACCGAGCTCTACATCGGGGAGCTGGAGGACCCGGAGGATCTGGCCTCCCTGGTCCGGGCGTACCTGCAGCCGGCGGCCGCGGCCCCCGGCGAGGGGGCCATCGTTCGGCTGCTGGTTGAGTGGTTCCTCGGGGTCAAGCGCCTGGCGGCCGGCGGTCAGCTGGCCGACGGCGAGGGCCAGCGTCCGCACTACTCCCTCCGGACATTGACCCGGGCCTTGGGCTACACGGCGCTGGTGGCGCCGACCTACGGCCTGCGTCGGTCTCTCTATGAGGGGCTGAGCATGTCCTTCTTGACGCAGCTGGCGCCCACCTCGCGAAGCATGTTGCACCGGCAGATCACCGACCTGGCGGCCGGCAATGCGGCCAACCTGGATGCCATGCTGCGCCGGGCTCCTGGGGTTCCGTCGGGCGGGGCTCCCGGGGATTTCGAGCTGGTGTCCGGGTTTTGGATCCGCTGTGGGGCCCATCCTCGTGGGGATCCCGGCCACCGGTATGTCCTGACGTCCAGTGTTCAGACCAATCTCCGGTCCTTGGCGCGTGTGGTTGTGGCCAACACCTATCCGGTGCTGATCCAGGGCCCCACGTCGGCCGGTAAGACCAGTATGGTGGAGTACCTGGCCGCGCGGACGGGGCACCGGTTTGTGCGCATCAACAACCATGAGCACACCGATTTGCAGGAGTACCTCGGGTCGTATGTGGCCGATGACCAGGGGCGCCTGGCCTTCCGTGAGGGTGTCCTGGTGGAGGCCCTGCGCCATGGGCATTGGATTGTGCTGGACGAGTTGAACCTGGCCCCGACCGATGTGCTGGAGGCTCTGAACCGTCTGCTGGATGACAATCGCGAGCTCTACCTGCCGGAGACGCAGGAAACCGTGCGCCCGCATCCGGACTTCATGCTCTTCGCCACGCAGAACCCCCCGCGGTTGTATGGCGGTCGGAAGGTCCTGTCACGGGCCTTCCGCAATCGGTTCCTGGAGATCCACTTCGATGACATCCCGGTTGGCGAACTCCAGGAGATCGTGGAAAACCGCTGTGCCATGCCGCCCTCGCGTGCCGAGCGCCTGGTGGCCGTGTACCGCGACCTGCAGGAGCGCCGGCAGGCCACCAATGTCTTTGCCGGTCGTGATGGGTACATCACCCTGCGTGATCTCTTCCGCTGGGGCGGGCGCTTTGCCCAGTATACCGGGACCGATGATCGGCGCCTGGCCGAGGACGGGTACATGCTGCTGGCGGAGCGCGTGCGCAGCGTCGAGGAGCGTGAGACCGTGCGAGCGGTGGTGGAGAAGCATGTCCGCGCGCCGGTCGACCTGGCGACGCTCTATTCGCTGGAGTCGGCCCAGGCCGAGTTCGATGCGCTGTTTGCGGCGTCGGCCGGCGAGGCGGGCCTGGCCGCCGGTGCTGTGGCCCCGCGTCTGGCCGACTTGTCCCGGTCGGCTGGCGGGTCTTCCGGCGGGGTGGTCTGGACGGCGGCCATGTGCCGGCTGTTTGTGCTGACTGCCCGTGCGGCTCGTCACCAGGAGCCCGTGCTCCTGGTGGGCGACACTGGCTGTGGCAAGACCACCATTGTGGAGCTCCTGGCCCGGGCCATGGGCCAGCATCTGGAGACGCTCAATTGCCACGAGCACACCGAGACCGCGGACTTCATTGGTGGCCTGCGCCCGGTGCGTGACCGGGACCAGGCCCGTCGGGATTTGGTGGCCCTGCTCCGTGGGGCGGAGTTTGCGGTGGCCGCGGCGGCGACCGAGCGCGCCGCTCTGGCCGAGCTGACCGCGGCTGCACTGGCCGCCGCGGCCGAGGAGGCCTCCGCTGTGGCCGCGGCTGCGGCTGCGGCTGCGGCTGCCGCCGAGACCGCCGGCGCCGAAGAGGGCGCCAGCGCCGAGGATGTCGCCCAGATGGACATCGAGCAGGACAAGCAATCGGCCTCCGACGACATGGCCGTCGCTGGTGCCGAGTCGCCGGCCATTGTCCTGAGCCAGGAGGTCCTGGCGCAGCTGGAGGCCGAGGCACGGCAGGCCGGTCTGGCGGCCGGCCAGCTGGCGGCCGATGCCCTGAGCTCGGACCTCGGGGCTGGTGCTGCGTTTGCGCGGTTGCAGGCTTTGCTGGCTGGCGCGCCGGAGCTCGGCAGCCACTCGGCCCCGGCCGAGGAGCTGCTCCAGCGCGGTCGCTTCCACCTGGCCCAGGCGTCGGCTCTCTTTGCCTGGTACGATGGTGCCCTGGTGAAGTCCATGCGCGCTGGCCATGTGTTCCTGATGGATGAGATTTCTCTGGCCGATGATTCGGTCCTGGAGCGGATCAACTCCGTCCTGGAGCCCGGCCGGACGCTGGTGATCGCCGAGAAGCCGGCCGGCTCGGCCGATGGCGATGCCACGGTGGAGCAGGCCCTCGCGATGGCGGCGGCCGCGGCCAAGACCATGGCCACCGGTGGCCCGGTGGACATCGCCGCCGAGACCCTGGTGGCCACCCGGCGCTTCAGCTTCATGGCCACCATGAACCCGGGTGGCGACCATGGCAAGAAGGAACTGTCGCCGGCCCTGCGCAATCGCTTCACCGAGGTGTGGGTGCCGGCGGTGACGGATCCGGCGGACCTGCGCATGATCGCGGCGGACCGCCTGCCGGCCGAGCTGGCCCCCTTCGCCGGGCCGATGGTGGCCTTTTGCGAGTGGTTCCGCGGGCACCGGCAGTTGATGGCCCATCGGGCGGTGTCGCTGCGTGACCTGCTCGCGTGGGCCGGGTTCCTGTGCCATTGCACCCAGGCGCTGGGGCTGCCGGCGGCCGTGGGCTTTGTCCAGGGCTGTCAGCTGGTCTTCCTGGATGCCCTGTCGCCGGATGCCGTGGCCGAGGCTCATCGGTTCCTCCTGCCGCTGATGCAGGAGGCCGACCTGCTGCCGGTGGCCCTTTCCACGGCCGACGGTCGGGAGGTCACCTCGGCGGCCGAGGTGTACGGGTGCTTGGCTGCGGCTCAGGCCGGGCCGGCCGGCATCGGCCTCAGCCCGGATGCCAAGCGCTATGGCGCCGAGCCCTTCTGGATCCCGGTGGGCCCGGTGGCCCCGCTGGCCGTGGGCCCGACCCATGGGGCGGCTAGCCCGCCGGACATGGATGCCCATCGCCGACGCCAGCAGCTGTCGCTGGATGTGCCCACCACGCGGTCCAACCTGCTGCGTCTCCTTCGTGCCCTGCAGCTGGCCAAGCCCATCCTGCTGGAGGGGCCGCCCGGGGTCGGCAAGACGACCCTGGTCCAGGCGCTGGCCGAGGAGTCCGGCCACCCGCTGCTCCGGATTAACCTCAGCGAGCAGACCGACTTGGCGGATCTCTTCGGGTCGGATTTGCCGGTGGAATCGGACGCCGACCTCGGGGCCGAGGGGGGCGGCTCCTCTTGCGCCAATGGCGGCGGTCGGACCGACGCGGCCGATGTCCGCTTTGCCTGGCGCGATGGGCCGCTCCTGGCGGCCATCAAGGCCGGCCAGTGGGTTCTCCTGGACGAGCTGAACCTGGCCTCGCAGTCGGTGCTCGAGGGGCTGAATGCCTGTCTCGACCACCGGGGGGAGATCTTCCTGCCGGAGTTGAACCGGTCGTTCGCCATTTCGCGCGACTCGCGCATCTTTGCCGCTCAGAATCCCGTGCGTCAGGGCGGCGGCCGGAAGGGCCTCCCCCGGTCCTTCCTCAACCGCTTCACCGAGGTCCATGTGGAGGCCTTCACCGATGCCGACCTGCTGGCCGTGTGTGCGGCCCTCTATCCGGATGTCGGGGAGCCCCTGCGCCGGCGCATGGTCCGGTTCAATGCCCGCGTCCATGAGCTGGTGGCCCCTCAGGGTCCCTTCGCTCGGGCCGGCGCCCCGTGGGAGGTGAACCTGCGTGATGTGCTCCGGTGGTTGAGTTTGGTCCGCGCGGCTGGGGCCGATCGGGGCGCCGATCCGGCCGACTTCGTGGACATGCTGTACTTGCAGCGGCTGCGCACGGCCGAGGACCGGCTGGTCATTGCCCGGGCCTTTGCCGAGGTGTTCTACCCGGCGGACCTGGCCGCCGGCCGGGCCGTGGTCCAGTGGCTGATGGGCCGGCGGCCGCGCGTGGATGTGTCCGCCCGGCAGGTGACCGTCGGTCGGGCGGCCATCGCGCGCGATGTCCTCAATGCCCATGGCGGGGCCCGGGCCAATGCCCTGGGTCTCGCCGGGCCGGGGACCAGCGGCGATGGGGCTCCCCTGCTGTTGGGCCGCCATGCGCGCGCCCTCGAGTCCATGCTCTTCTCCCTGGACATGGGGTGGATGGTGCTGCTGACCGGGCCCACTGCCTCCGGCAAGACGTGGCTGGTCCGGTCGGCCGCGGCCCTGGCCAATCGCCGGCTGTTCGAATTTTCGATGACCAGCAGCGTGGACACCACCGAGCTGCTGGGTGGCTTCGAGCAGGTGGACCTGGAGCGCGAGCGCCAGGCCGTGGCCGGGGACCTCCGGGTCCTGGTCCAGGCGGCGGCCGAGCACTTCCTGCTGCGTGGCGATGCGGCCCCCGTGGTGCGGGCTCTGCTCCAGGGCCATGCGGCCTACCTGGCGGCCGGCCGGCCGGACCAGGCGGCCGTCGACCTGCTCGGGTCCTTTGCCGAGCTGGCCGAGGGGTTGCTGGTTGCCCCGGCGTCGGATGCCGTGCTGGCCGGGTTCCTGGCCACCGCGCGTCAGCTTCTGGCCCGGCTGGCCACGGTCCAGCGCCTGTCTCAGGTGTCTTTGACCGGGCGCTTTGAGTGGGTGGATGGCGTGCTCCTGCGGGCCATCGAGCATGGCGGGTGGGTTCTCATTGACAATGTGAACTTCTGCTCGGCCTCGGTGCTGGATCGGCTGAATCCGCTGCTGGAGCCGGGCGGTGTCATGGCCGTCACCGAGCATGGTGTGGTCGATGGCGGGGTGCGGACCATCCGCCCGCACCCGGACTTCCGCCTGATCCTGGCCATGGACCCGCGACATGGGGAAATCTCGCGCGCCATGCGCAACCGCGGTGTGGAGATTGCCCTGCTGGATGATGACAATGACCTGCTGGAGTTGACCCTGGCCGGGGAGAGCATTGTGACGGGGGCCTCCCCCGAGGCCGAGTGTGCTTCGGCCATCGGCGGGGCGGGCACCCTGCCGGCCGGTGGGGCTGCCCTGCGCCATGGCGCCGGGGGCATTGCCTCGGCCCCGGCGCTGGCCCTCCAGCGGGAGGATTGCCTGCGTGTGGTGGCGGCCGGCGGCGTGGCCGACCCGTGCCTGGCCGGGGCCCTGGTGGACTTCCACCGCCGGGCCCGGGCGGCGATCCTCGAGTCCGGGCGCTATGGCCGGGCCGCTTGGCCGAACCTGCGTGATCTCGGCACCCTGGCTCGCTTTGCGCGTGCCCTGTTGCTGCGTGGGTGGCCGGCACCGCGGGCCGCGCGTGCCGGGCTGGCCCTCGTGTATGGTCGCTTCGGTCGGGCCCTGCTGACGGATGCCGAGTCTTCGCTGCTGGCCGCGCTCGGGGCGACGGCGGCTACGGCGGCCGGTGCCCTGCCGCCGCCGGTGGCGGCTCCGCTGGGGGCTCTGGCCCGGCTCCAGGCTTCGGCCCAGCCGAGCTTGGCCCTGCTCCGGGATGATGCGCTCCTGGGCGGGTTTGTCCGGCTGGCGCACCAGGTCCTGGCCTTCGCCGGCCGGGCGGCTCCCCTGTCGGAGGGGGCGGTCGAGGCGGACCTGCTGCCGCTGCTGCGGCGCTTCCTGCGGGAGGTGTCGCCGGCTGCCTGGGCCCTGGCCGGGCGGTGGCTGGAGCTCCTCCGCGGGCGCCTTGCCCAGCTGGCCGATGTCGACACCCGGTGCGCCGAGGTGGATGTGGCACTGGCCGGCGCGGCGGCGGCCCTGCGCCTGCGCCAGCAGGTGTGCATGAGCCTGCCCCCGGGGCAGCGCCAATCCGGCGCCCCGATCGATCTGGCCTGCTTCCCGGAGGCCAGCTTTGCCAGTGTGGCCGCGGCGTCGGCCCTGGGCCGGGGCGACGAGCAGGCCGACGAGCAGGCGGCCCTGGCCTTGGCGGCCCTGACCACGACGGCCGCCGGGCCCGGGGAGGAGGCCCTCCGCCGGCAGGTGGCCGGTGGCCTGGCCCTGACCCCGGTGCTGGCCGGCCAGCTGTCGGCCCTCGATGAGTTTGCCCTGCTGGGCGAGCGCATCGCGGCGCAGGTGGCCGCCGTGGCCGCCACCGGCCCCGGGGCCCGGTCCTCGGCGCTGCAAGTGTCGGCGGCCCTGTTCCATGCGCAGATTGACCGGGCCACGGCGTCGGCCCTGCTCCGGCCGAGCGTCGTCACCATGGCCGGCGGCGAGGCCGCCGGGTCCGGCGACTCGCAGCCGTCGACCGGCTGCTCGGCGGCCGCCCTCTCGGTCCCGAGCTTGGCCTGTCTCTTCCCCCTGGTGTCCGGGGTGATGGAGTGGCTGCTGCGCACGGCGGTGGCCAGTGGCGACTTGTCGCCGCTGACCGGCGAGCCGGCCGACGTGCCGGACTCGGCCCGGGCTTCCATGCGCCTGCTGTCGGGCGCCGTGCGGCCGGTCCTCTCCGGGGCCGGCTGGTCGTGGACCGTCTTCGCGGACTTCGCGCGCTTCCTGCTGGACTCGCGCTGCTCCGGCGGCGTGTCGCTGGAGGCGCTGGTGTTCCTGCTGCGGCCGCTGCGGCCGGCGGTGGAGCATCTGCTCTCGGCCCAGGGGGGGGCCTTGCCGACCGGGGCGGACCCGGCGGCCGGTGCCATGCGCCAGCAGGCCACCGCCGCCCTGGGCCAGCTGCTGGAAACCGTGCCGGTCTTCGCCCTGGAGTGCTGGGGCCCGCTCTACCGGGAGGGCCTGCGCCCGGCGACCTTCGCCGATGTCGGGCTCGCGCGGCTGGCCGACCGGCTGGCCCTCGCGGCCAGCCGGCTGGACATCTTCAGTGGCCGGTCGGTCGGGTCGCACATGGGTGCCCAGGCGGCGGCGGCCGCCGGGCCGGGCCTGGCCCTGGACCAAAACACCCCCTGGTGGTTTGCCTTCCTGCGCGTGCACCGCCATGTGGATGCCCTGCTGAGGCTGGATGCCTTGGATGCGGCCAGTGCCGATCCGGCCGACATGGCCCCGATGGCGGTGGAGGACCAGCCCCCGGCCCCCGGGCCCGGGGCCCGGTCCGGCGACCACAGCGACGGCGATGACAATGCCTTCCGGCCGGATGCCTTCCGGGCATCGCTTGTCCTGTCGGAGGCGGACTCGCGCATTCGCCGGGCTCGCCGGGTGTCTGCCACCCAGCGGTCGGCCTGGCTGCGGGACCTGTATGCCGATGTGTCGGAGGGCCTGGCCACGGTGCTCATCCTCAATGGGCAGCCGCTGGCCGGGCCGGCGGCCTCCCTGGCCGACGCCATGGTCACCCTGGCCGACTCGGTGGACGAGCGCCTGGCTCGGCTGCATGCGGCTCCGGCCGAGCTGGCCGGGCGTCTGCGCACCCGGCACCTGCTGTCCTCGGCGGAATTGCTGCCGGACTCGGTGGACACCGAGGTGGTGGAGGCCATGCTCTCCGAGAGCCCGGTCTACCTGCCGAAGGATGCCCTCGATGCCCGGGTGCAGCTGCCATTCATGCCGCTGTCGGATGTCGGCCTGCTGACTTGCGAGTTGGCCATCGTGTCGCTGGGCTTCCGGCTGGCCGGCGACCTGGCCCTGCTGCCGGGGCTCGATTCGGAGGCCGCTGCCCTTGAGCTCCGCGCCCTGGAGGCCCGGCGCCTGGCCCTGGTGGAGGTGGTCGGCCGGCTTCGCGGGCTGGAGGCCGCGGCCGGCGGGTCTACCGGGTCCTCCCGGTCGCCGGCTGATGCGGTCACTTCGCAGCGTTTCCTCTGGCTGCTGGATTTGGCCCCGCTGGCCGGCGAGGGGGGTGCCCCGCTGGCGGCTGGCCGGTCGCGCGCGGCACACCTGCTGTCCGAGCTGCTGGGCCTGCTGCCGAGCCTGCTGGCTGGCTGGGCCTCGCGGGCGTATGCCAGCGCCGGGTCGCTCGGCCTGCCGCGGGACCTGTCCTCGGTGGCCGGCCCCGATGGCCTGGGGCCCCTGCTGCTGGAGGGCGGAAGCACTTTGGGCTCCGGCTCCGGCCCCGGCTCCGGGGCAATGGACCTGGCGGATGACAGTGACCAGCGTGCGGCGGCGGCCCTGGAGGCCATGGCCGCCACGGCCGGCTCGATGGCCGGGCAAACCGGCCTGCTTGGTCAGTCGCACGGCCTGGCCGCGCTGCTGAGCTCGGCCTCCACCACGGCCGCCCTGTCCATCAATGCCTCGCTCGAGGACACCGGCATCCATGAGGCCCCCTCGCGGGTGGCCCAGCTGGCCCGCCTGCGGGAGTTCTTCGCCCGGCAGCGGCCCCCCACGGCCGGGCAGGTGCAGCAGGTGGTTGTTGCCCTGCTGGCCGGGCTGGTGCGCCTGGCCCGGGTCCTCAGTGACCGGCACCATGCGGCCACCGGGACCCGGCCCGGGGCCGGGGCCGGTGCCTTCGATCCGGCCCGCCTGGATGCCCTGGACGCGGCGCTGGCCGAGGCGGCAGCCCGGCCGCTGGCCCCGACGGACTCGGTTGATGCCGGGGCCACGGCCACGGCCATTGCCCTGGCCGAGGCGGTGCGGCTGATGGCCGCCGGGCTGGTGGACGCCGGGTCGGCCCTGGCCCGGTCGTATGTCCTGCCGTTGGCGGTGGACCCGGCCAGCGCCTCGGAGCTGGCCCTGGCCCGGGCGTCGGACGCCCTGGCCGGGGTCCAGGCCGCCGACCGGGTCCGGCAGTCCTTCGATGCCGGGCTGTCGGGCAGTTCGCCGGAACTCCCGAGCCCGGCTGGCCGGCTGGCCGCTCGAGCGGCTCGGCTGCTCGGGGCCGAGATCGCCCGGCTGGAGCGCCTGCGCGTGGTGCGCCCCGGCCGGTCGCAAGTGGCTGCCCTCACGGCCGAGACCGATCGCCTGGCCGGTGCGCTGGACCAGGCGCTGGCCTGTGTGGCCGGCGGGTCCGGCGATCCGGCCACCGCTCGGCGCCTGGCCGCCAATTTGGTGGTCTTCGCCGGGCGCCTGGGCTCGCGCTTTGCCGGCTACCGGGACCTGGTGGAGCCGATCATGGCCGGTGCCCTGTTGGCGGCTCATGGCCTGGTGGCCGGGAACTTTGCCCGGGCTCTGGCGGCCCCGCGTGCCATCGGGCGCTTTGGCGCCTCGCGGTGGCTCCTCTCGCTGCCGGCCATGCCGGCGGCGTCGACCAATGCCGTGCGGCTGCTGCTGCTGCTGGATGCCGACCTGTCGGAGGCCGGCGTGGCGGCGGTCTCGGCCGCGGAGCTGGCCCGCCGTGCCCAGGCGGTCTTCTCCCGGGCCGGGTCGCGCTCCGGCACGCCGCAGCACAAGCGCATCGCCGATCGGGCGGTGGTCCTGCTGCAGCGCCTGTACACGGACATCGTGGATGCCGGGCTGCTGCTGACGCCGGAGCGCTTCGCCACCCTCGAGGCCCTGCTCGACGTGCTGGCCGGGTGCTGGAATGCCGAGGAGCAGCGCCGCCTGGAGCAGGAGGCCCTCGACGCGGCGGCCTTCCGCTACCGCGCGCAGGACCACCAGTACGCCACGGACGCCGAGGAGGAGGCGGCCCACCTGCACCGGCACTTCCCCTCCTTCTCGGCCGATGTGGCCGACATGATGGCCGGCCTGGCCGGGGCGGATGAGTATGCGGCGGCCGCGGTGGCCGCTGGCGCCGCTGCCGGCGCCGCTGCCGACTCCGCCGCCCCGGCCAAGGCCACGGCCCCGGGCCGGGGGGTGACCTTCGCCCTGACCGTGCAGCAGCAGCGCCTCATCCGGGCCATCTACAGCGCGGTGTTCGGCTTCGCGGCCACCGGGCTGCCGGCCACCGGGGCGGTTCTCCAGCAGGGAGCCGCGGCGGCGGCCGAGCGCGGCGTCGCCCTGCGCGCCTCGTACGACCTGGCCCGCACCGTGCTGCTGGAAGACTCGCTGGCTTCGGCCGACCGGACGGCCATGGCCGACCCCGGGGCCGAGGATGGGGCCTTTGCCGCGGCCCTGCCGCGTGACCTGGACGCCCTGGCTCGGCCGGCCCACCTGCTGGTGGCCGCCGAGCATCTGGCCCAGCTGGAAAGCAGTCGCAGTGTCAACACCCCGGCCTTCCGCACGCTCGATGGGCGCCTGGTCCAGCGGGAGCAGCGCCGTGGCGGGGCCTCCCGCCGGGCGCGGTCGCGCTATGACCTCCTGCTGAAGGCGGCCTCCAAGGCGGCCGGCACCAGCAGCCCCGACTCGGGCCCCCTCATCAAGGACACCAGCCTGTCGGGCGAGGAGGCCGCGGAGTTCGAGCATCTGGCGGATTTGCTGATCACCGGGCGGACGTCGCCCACCGGGGCCGGCGTGCCGCCGGCCCTGCGCCTGTTGGCGTACTACGACCCGGCCGGCGTGGCGGCCTCGGCCGCGGCCAGTGCCGATCAGGCAGCCGCCGGCGTGGCCCCGAGCGCCACGCTCTCGCACACGGCCCTGGAGGTGGCGGACTCGCTGCAATGGCGCCCGCTCCTGCCGCAGGTCACCTGTGCCAGCCAGTTTGGCGGGTACTACGACTTCTACCATGACGCCAATGTGTCGGAGACGCGCCGGGCCTTCCGCGGGCTGTCGCAGCTGCGCGCCCGGCTGGCCTTCCTGCTGAGCCTCTGGCCCGGGGACCAGGAGCTGGCCGAGGTGGATGCGGCGGCCGAGCGCGTCCTGCGCCTGCCGATTGCGGCCCCCCTGGCCCGGGTTCTTGCCGGGCTGGAGTTCGTCCTCGAGCGTGCCGAGCCCTGGGAGCGGCGCAACCTGCGCGGGCGCTTCGCCATCGGCGACACCTACCGGGCGCTGGTGAAGCTGGTGGTCCGCTGGCGCCAGCTGGAGATCACCTGCTGGCCGCACCTGTTCGCCGCACGGGAGGTCATCCATGCCGATGACCTGAGCCGCATGTGGTTCCACCTGAACAACTTGCTGCTGGCCACGCCGGTGGAGGTGGCGGACTTCGATGCCGGCCGGGTGGGGTGGCTGAATCTGGCCGGGCCCCTGGCCGAGCGGCTGCAAGCCATCAAGGAGTTCCTGGCCCTCTGCCGAATGGGCCAATTCGAGGCGCGCCTGCGTCTGTTGGCCTCCTTCGCCGGGCATCTGCAATACTCGGTGGGCTTGGCTCCGGGCATGGAGGGAGCCCCGGCCCCGGGGCTGCGGCGCTTCCGCCAGCGCTTGCTGGCCCGCCTGCACAATGTGCTGGGCTTCTTCGGCCGGTATCGTGCGGTGGTGCGCGAGGAGCTGGCCCGCGAGCGGGCTGCCCTGGAGGGCCGCGTGCGCGAGGTGGTCAAGCTGGCCCGCTGGCACCATGCGGAGGATGTGTCACTCCTGCGCGAGGCCGCCCGCAAGAACCACGCGGTGCTGGCCAAGATGGTCCGCCAGTTTGGTGCCCTGCTGGATCGCCCGGTGCGCGAGCACTTCGAGAAGGCCGACGCCGAGCTGCTGACCTCCAGCTCGCGGGCCCGGTCGGCGGCCGCCGGGCTGGTGGCCGCCCGGGCGGCCCGGGCCGAAAAGGCCGCGGCTCGGGCCCAGGCCCGTCTGGCCCGGCGCGCGGTTCGGGCATTGCAAATCCGCTCGCGCGATGCCGCTCGCGATGTCACTCGGCTGACGGCCGCGGCCCGGGCCTCGCCGGAGGATGAGCTCCTGCAAGCCGAGCAGGCGGCCGCGGTGGCCCTGTCCAAGCAGGCGGCCGCGGACCTGGACCGCGGTCGCGCCTGCCCGACCACGGCCACGACCCTGGCCACGGAGCTGGGCCTGCCCCTGGCCCCGGCCACCGGCGAGCCGTCCTCCCACCAGTCGGAGGATGTGGAAGACGCCGCGGTCCTTGCCCTGCCGGCCACCTTGGCCGACATTTCGGCCGATCTCCATGTCCGGCTGTGGGCCGCGGTGGCCGGGGCCCTGGCGCCGGCGCTGCCGGCCTCCGGGGCCGGGGCCGATCGCCGTGCCCAGCTGGCCGACCCGCCGGCCACTCGGCGCCTGGCCATGCACCTGCTGACGCTGGATTCCCTGGCGGCCGGGGCCCTGGACCGGGCGCTGGTCCTGCAACGCGAGTCGGACTCCCGGTCGAATGTCGCCGAGCACCATGGGCTCTTCCGCCAGCTGAAGCGCTCCAAGCAGCTGGGCCTGATTGAGCTGCTCCGGTCGCTGCGCACGCTCGGGGTCCTGCCCCTCGGGGCTGACCGTCGGGCGGAGCAGGCGGCCGAGGGCTTCCTCTTCCGCCAGCCGGTCCCCATGCTGGACCAGCTGCTGGAGGGCGGCCTCGATGCCGGGGCCTCCGGCACGGTCGGTGCCCCGGAGGACGGCCACACCGGCGGCCTGCTTTCATGGACGGCGCAGGACGCCGCCGAGGCCCTGGCCCCGGGGGCCGGGGCTGCCCTCGGTGTCCTGGCCCGGCTCTGGCAGGATGCCGTGGTGTACTACTTCCGCGGTGCGTCCGGCGTGATTGCCGTCCGCCGGGCGGCCCAGGCCCCGTGCGAGGAAATGCGCACTCGGGCCGGGCGCCTGCTGGCCCTGACCGAGGCGCTGTTGCGCCTGGCCACCGAGCAGCGCGCGGCGCTGGCCGCGGCGCAGCCCACCCTGCGTGGTCTGCTTGACTTGTGGCACAATTTGACCGGGCTGCTTCCGGTTGCCGCCTCGGCCGCCGAGCAGCAGTCCGCCACCGGTGCCATGCCGGCCGAGTGCCTGGCCGCGGCGGTTCCCCACCCGGTGGCCGCCGCCCGGGCCCAGGCGGCCAAGCACCAGCTTGACCGTGCCGGCCGCACGCTCTCCGAGTGGCAGCGCTTCCTGGCGGAGCTGCGCACGGTCGGCGGCCCGGCCGAGGTGGCGCCGCCGGCTCTGGAGGCCGCGGCCACCCGGGACACCGGGCGCTTTGCGCCGCTGCTGGCCGCCGGCGCCGGCCTGGCCGACCTGTGCCTGGCCGACCGGGTCGCGGCCCTGGCCACCCGCGTGGCCGAGCAGCAGGCCGCCCTGAACCAGCTTTGCCGGGACTTCGGCCTGACGGCCCATGCCACTGCCGAGTCCCTGCACTCGGCGGGGCTGGTGTCCGGCGTGCGCCTGTCCGCTGCCCTGGGCCCGGTGCATGGGCTCCTGACCGAGGTGGCTGGCCTGTATGCCGAGGCTGCCGACACGCTGCCCGGCCTGGGGCCGGAGCTGCGCGACCTGCGCGCCGCCCTGGCCACCACCGCGGCCGAGCCCCCCCAGCAAGACACCTCCCTCTTGGCCGGGGCCGATGGCATCCATCTTGACACCGGCGACGCCGCGCTGGAGGCCGACTTCGCTGCCCTGCTGGCCGAGGCCGCGGCCCTGGCCGAGGGCTGGGCCCGGGATCCCCTTGCCTGGACCGCTTCGTCGGGCGACGCCCTGATGGCCGATGCCGAGGCGGCGGCCCCGGAGCATGGCGCTCATGCGGCTGACAACGACGGTGACGAGGACGACGACGCTGACGACAAGGAAGCGGCCGCCCTGCTGGCGGCCCTCTCCGACGACGACGACGACGACGAGGCTACCGATGGCGATGCGGCCCTTTCGCAGGATGCCGCCACCCCCGCGGCGGTGGTGCCCGGCGAGGTGGTGGTGGATGTGACCGACCAGTCGGCCATTGCCCTGCATGCGCACTACCTGGCGGCCTTCCGCCTGGCCGCTGTGCCGCCGGGCTCGGCCGAGGATGGTGCGGATGACGACAACACGGAGGACCCGGCAGCCCTGTCGGCTGTGGGGTCCCCCTCGCTGCCGGCGCGCCTGTTGGGCCTGGTGCCGCGCCTGCGCGCGGCCCTGCTCTCGGGCCAGCTGTCGGCCGACCGGGCCGGGGCCATGCTCGGTGACTTGCACCGGCAGACCGGGGCCCTGACGGCCGCCGGGCTGTCGCTGCTCGGGGACTTTGTGCTCTTCCACCGCGGCACGGCCAAGGCCCTGCTGCTGCTGGGCCGGCTGTTTGCCACGCTGATTGCCAGCGGCCTGTGTGCCCCGGCCGAGGTGCAAACCGACAACGACGGTGCCGAGGCCGGTGGCGATGGCGATGGCCAGTTCAGTGTCGAGGATGGCACTGGCATGGCCGACGGCGAGCAGGGCCAGCAGGATGTGTCCGAGCAAATCCAAGACGAATCCCAGGTCGAAGGCCTGAAGGGCGACGAGGAGAAGCAGGACCCGGCCGAGCAGGACCGCGAGTTGGAGGACGAAGAGCATGGCATCGAAATGACCGAGGACTTTGATGGGCGCCTGCATGATGGCCCGGACCGCACCGAGGCCGGGTCCGACATTGACTCGCAGTCCGAGGAGTCGGACGACGACCAGGACATGGAAGATCGCGAGGGCGAGGCCAGCGGTGACATCGAGAACATCGATGAGGAAAAGCAGAACTTCGGCGAGCAGGAGGACGACCGCGATGTGCGGGATCTGTCCGACGCCGAGGGCGGCCAGGGCCAGCCCGAGGGCGAGTCCGAGGTGGTCGCCGACGAGTCGGGCCGCGAGCCGGAAAGCAAGGACCGCAATGATGAGGACCGCCGCGAGGATGAGGACCAGCCCCGGCCGGCGCCGGAGGACGAGGCCGAGGATGACTCGGACCCGGACTCCGAGCCGGAGGACTTCCCCGAAGCCAAGCACTACGAGGACCTGGAGGATGACAATGCCCCGCGCGGTGGCGAGCCGGATCCCGGCCTGGACAACTCCGACGACGAGGCGGCCGGCGATCCGGACCTGCCGGATGACCTGAATCTCGATGGCGGCGAGCAGCTCGGCGATGATGACGAGGACCTGGCCGGTGACGATGAGTCGGGCCAGCCGCCGGAGCATGGTGACAATCCGGATGACGATGGCCCGGACGACGAGGCCATCGACCCGGAGAAGGGCACCGCCGCCGAGGACGACACCCCCATGGAGCAGGACGACCCGGGCCAGGATGCCGACAATGAGGACGACCCTGCCAACAAGCCGGACGGTGCGGCTGGCGGCCCGGAGGATGAGACCCCCGCTCCGATGGAGGAGGACGCCGAAGCCGGTGATGACCAGCCGCAGGAGGAGGATCTCGACCAGTCGGACAACCAGCCGAAGGGCCGGCCTTCGGATGCGCAGGACCCGGCGTCGCTGCGTGGCCCGGAGGGTGCCCAGGTTTCCAGCACCGGAGCCGGGGCCGCCGAGGAGGACGACCAGGCCGAGCCCGAGCCCCGGGATACCCCGCTGTCGGGGGCCCCGCCGGATGATGCGCCGCCCGATGCGGCGCCCCCGAGCGCCAGCCACCAGCAGGACCGCCATGGCCGGCAGGTGGCTCAGCAGCAGCAGCTGCGCCCGGAGGAGGGCGCCGGCGCGCCGGATGCCGGGCCCCAGCAGCCGGATGACGGGTCCCAGCCCCAGCGGCCGGACATGCCGAACCCGGCCCGGTCACTGGCCGACGCGCTGAACCGCTGGTCCAAGCGCCTGAATGAGCTGGAGCGGCCGGACCTTGCCCCGCCCGGGGACAAGGAGGCCGAGGTGCCCGACCGCCGGGAGGCCGACGCCGAGCGCCTCGATCCGGACCTGGCGCCGGAGCTGATGGAGCACGTTCGCGATGATGAGCAGGCCGACACCACGGCCCTCGGCGCGGCGACCGACGAGCAGCTGGCCCAGCAGCGCCAGCAGCAGCCCCCGGCCGCGCCGGAGTCCGAAGATGGCTCGCCGACGGCCCCGCCGCCGGCCGCCATGGGCATCATCGATGATGAGAGCCCCACCGCCCCGGAGGAGGACGCCGCCCACGGCATGGAGGCCGAGGATCCGGCCGCCGCCGAGCAGCCGCCCTCCGAGGCCGAGGTGGCCGATGAGGCGCCGCTCGAGCGCCTGGACCCCTCGGTCCAGGTGGCCTCGCAGCAGCCGCAGCAGCAATCGTCGCAGTCCGGTGGCGCCGACACGGATCCCACGTCGACCAACAATGCGGCCGGGGCCCCGCCCTCGGCCGATGACGCTGGCCCCGAGGACGGGCAGGACGACGACGCCATGGACGTGGATTTGGCCCCGGAGGAGCAGGCCCCGGAGCACCTTGCCGGGCGGCAGACCGCCATCGGCGGTGAGGATGCCCCCTCGGGCACTGACTCCGACTCGGGTGACGATGCCGACCGGAAGATGGACGACGCCGACACCGAGCACCGGCGTGGCTTGGCCGACGAGTATATCCGCCGGCCGGAGACCGCCGAGGAGCTGGAGGCCCTGCGCCTGGAGGTGGACCGGACCCTGGAGGCTTTCCATGCCGGTGGGGCCGGCGGCCCGGAGGCCGATGCCGACGCCGCGCGCCGGCTGTGGCTGGATGTGGCCGCCTGCGTGGCGGACCTGTCGGCCGACCTGACCGAGCAATTGCGCCTGGTCCTGGAGCCGACGCTGGCCACCAAGCTGCGCGGGGACTACCGCACCGGCAAGCGGCTGAACATGCGCCGGATCATCCCGTACATCGCGTCGCAGTTCCGCCAGGACAAGATCTGGCTCCGGCGCACGCGCCCCGCGCGCCGGGCCTACCAGGTGGTCATTGCGGTGGACGACTCGCAGTCCATGCGTGAGGCGGGTGCCGCGCGCACCGCCCTCGAGACGGTGGCCCTGCTGGCGGACGCCCTGCAGCGCCTGGAAATCGCCGGGCTCGGCATCCTCGGCTTCGGCGAGCAGACCAACATCCTGCACCAGGGCATTGCCGGGCTGCTGGGCAGCTCGTCGCAGCCCTTCGGCCCGGAGGCCGGTGCCCAGGTGGTCGGTCGGCTGACCTTCCGCCAGGGCAAGACCTATGTGGCGTCGCTGCTTGGCCAGCTGCGCGTCATGCTGGCCGAGGCCCGCGCGGCCCAGGGTGCCAGCGCCGGCGACACCTGGCAGCTGGCTCTCATCGTGTCCGATGGTGCCCTGCTGGATGATGCCCGGCTGGAGCTGGCCCGCCATGCGCGCCTGGCCGCCGCCGAGCGCATCATGGTTGTCCTGCTGGCCATCGACCGCCGGGAGCAGTCTCTGTCCGACCTGCGCCAGGTGGAGTATGTCAATGGCCGCATGACCATGACCCGGTACCTGGAGGACTTCCCCTTCGAGTACTATGTCCTGGTGCGCGATGTGGCTCAGCTTCCGTCTGTCCTGGCTGGTGCTCTGCGCCAGTGGTTCGAGCTTGCCAGCAATTCCGGCGCCTCCTCCTACTCGGCCTGATATGGGGCCCTCTCTCTCTCTCTGTCTGCCTATTTTTCGCCCCGCACCAGTAAAATACATGCTGTAGGCCTCTTTGGAAACATCCCCACCCCCACGGTCCTTGGTCTGCTGCCCATCCCTCTTTCTCCTTCTCTCTCTCATGCTCGGGCGGTGACCGCGGTGTTTTAAAGGGGAGGCGCGCCGCGCACCATGGGGCGCGGGAAGGGGGGGGCGGGGGGGGGGCGGACTGTCTCACCGCATTCTGCGCGCGCGAGAAACCCCGGGAGGGATCTCGACGCCCAGCGGCAGGCCGATCGGGCCCATGGTGTGGCGAACAACACGAAGCAGCTGCCCATGGACAGGGCCATTGGCACCCGGCCGGGCCCGGCGAATGGCTCTGCTCCCACACTGCCCGGACCCTGGGGCCAATTAAATGGACTATTTTTATTCCAGCTTCTTGCCTTTCTTCCCGCCACCCCGCCGGACCTGCCGACGGTGCCCCGGCAAGGATACCAAAAGACATGGCGTCACCCGGACAGGGGACACACCCGGGGGGGGGGGGGAGGGTCTTTTTCGGTGAGCGAGCCGGAGAGAAAAGATGCTGTGTCCGTGGGCGCGTTCGGGCCGGGGCGGAGACCTCCGTGTGCCGAAAAGAACCGGGGCTCTCTCACCAGGGAGGGACGGAATATTCGTCGGATTGGCCCCTCCGGCCCCCCCCGACCCCCACGATTCGGGTGCAGATGCGCGCGGATGCGCGTGCCAGAAGGCTGGCGAGCCCGACGCCGGCGTGGGCGCAGGTGCAGGTGCAGGCGCAGGCAGGTGGGCCTTTTGGGTGGGGGATGTGGCGTTGGCCCACGCTCCGGGGCCCGGTCATCCTGAGAGCCTCCGTCCCCCCCCCCCCCTTCCCTCTGCGCGACCTCTTCCCCTTTCGCTCCCCCCCCCCTCCTCTCTTCCGTTTTCGTACACCCCCCGCCCCCGCCCCCCCCCCTCCCCACCTGTAGCCATGGCCGTCATTGAGCTGAAGGACGACGCGGACTTCACCCGCCAGGTGGTCAGCGACCGTACCGGCCGTCTGGTACGATTCCCCCCTTCCTCCTTTGGTCCCTTCGCCCCCGAAGAAATGTCTTCCGCCTTCCCTGTTCCTCGTGTTGGCGCCTGGTTGGCAGACGTCCCCGCTGCCCCGTTTCCCTGCCCTTCGGCACTGACATCCACTCCCCCTTCTCCCGGTCGTCGCCCCTGCTCCCCTCCCCCCCCCCGCCTAGGTTGTCGTGGACTTCTACGCCAACTGGTGCGGCCCCTGTCGCGCGCTGGAGCCGCTCTTCGAGCAGCTCAGCCGAAACCAGCGCTACCAGAATGCCGGCTTCTTCCGCGCCAACACCGAGACCCTCACCGAGTCCACCAGCCGCGAGCAGGTGTCCGGCTTGCCGACGATCATTTTCTACAAGAACGGCGGTGTCCTCGGCCGCGTCACCGGCCTCAATATGGCCGACATTACGCGCATGCTGAATACCCACTGCCCGGAGAGCGTGTTTGCCTCCTCACAGCGCGGGCGTCGCCTGGGGGTGCGCTCCGGGCCCCCCTCCGCCCGCCCATTTCCATTCTCCTTCTCTCTCTCTCTCTCTCTCCCCCTCCCCCTCCCTCTCTGCCCAGGCTGTCCCCTGCTGACGTGTCCATGTCGCTGCTCGGTCCGGCCGTACCTGCCCCGCTCTTGCGCCTTCCTCCATTGCTGCCGCAGGATGCGCCGGCCGCCTCCGACTCGGCCACCTCCTCGCCGAGCCGCTCTTCCGAGATTGATCCAGCCACTCCCTGCACGGTGGCCATCCACCTGCCGGATGGGTCCCGGCCGCAGCGCGCCTTCACCGCGGGTGACACTCTACGCGATGTGTTGACTTGGCTCGAGCGCGAGCACGGCATCGGCAACTCCGCCAACTGGTCCCTCCAATCCACGCGGCCGCTCCGGTGTGTTCGCACCGCCTGGCTCTCGGCCCCTGCCCCCCATGGCGCCCTCGCCCCCCGCCCCTCTAACGCCTTCCTCCGCACCGCGTCGGCTTTCCCTCCTTCTCCCCTGTCTTTTTGTTCCCCCGCCCCCGACAGCACCTACCATGGTCAGACGCTCAACACCCTCCTGGCTGACACCGAGCTCCTGCCGCGAATCCGCCTGGTGGCTCGGCCAATGTCCGACGGTGCCTCCCGGTCTGGAGCCCCGGCCGGCCGGTCGACTGCTGCTGGTGCTTCCGCCGGCAGCGCCTCTGCCTCCGCCTCCGGGGCATCGCGCTTCGGCCATGGAAGTGCCCTCGATCAGCTGGCCCAACGCCTGGGCCTGCAAAATGCCTCCCAAGCCTTCATGGCCATTCTCCTGGCACTGACCACCTTGGGTTTTCTCTACCGGGCGCTCGTTGGCTACTAAGTGCCTCCCGGGTGTTGTGCGCCCCGGTCCGGCGCCTCGGAATCCAGGCTAGCCCGAGAGGATGCGCGCCAGGAGCCAGTGCTCCTCCCCTGGCTCTCCTCTCCCCTGCCCTCGCCCGCCCCTGAGCCGACGTACGTGGGCTCATGCCGATACGCGCGCACAAGCACGTACATACACATGTACATACACACATACACCAACGCAAATACACACACACACAGACACACACACACACACAGACATAGTGCATCTCAATACTGGGCCCCATTCCCCCTTCCATCTCACCGTTTCCTTTGAGTCTCCAGCGCGAGCCGATGAATTTGATCCTTCCTTCTGGCTCCGCCCCAGCTCCATTGTCACTCTTTGACTTCACACTTCCGGGTGCGTGAGAGGAGTGGCCGTGGATTGTTGCGCGCGCGCGCGCGCTTCGGCTTCCCCCTTCAAGGCGGAAAAGCCCCAGCCGTGGAGCACTTTGGTGGAGTAGGTACCCCACAACGCGGCCACGTGCTCAACCGCCGTCACGCGCCAGTGTTTTTCGATCAGTCGCCCCTTCCGTTGGCCAGTCGGCACTCCGGATGGTGCCTTCTAAACGGGAGGGCCGATTTTGCCAGGCCCCCCCCCCCCCCCCCCCGAGCGAGATCCCGATCGTGATGCCGAAGAAAAGAGGGACAAGGGCCCCGCTGGCCAGGTGCGAGGCACAGCCGTCGGCCCCCAAGTGTCCCCAGCCCGCCCCCTGTCCGAATCCCCATCTCCCGCCCCTGGCCCCGCCCCACCCTCCCTGTCTTTCTCTCTCTCTCTCTCTCTCTCCCCGGTCTCCTGGCTTCTCCTCCTTGCCTCTTCACTCGCTCATCCTTCGACGCTCCTCCTCCAAGCATGTCGCCGGCAGTGGCTGGCATGCATGCCGGCTACAGCACCGCATCCCAGAATGTCGCTGCCCCTGCCGGGCCCGGCGGCCCAGCTCTCCTGGCATCGGAGGACGCTCCCCTTCGTGTGCTGGTGCTCGGGGACTCAAGTACCGGCAAGACCACCCTTGTCCATCGAGTGTGCCACTACCACCGCTTTCCGGGGCCCATTCGCTCAGATGCTCCCCCCGGCCAGTTCCACGGTGGAGACCTCCTGCGGCCTTTGTCTCCCTCGGCCGGGGAGGCCCTGCAGCGCCCCTTCCCGACCCACCGACCAGCCACGGTCGGTTGCCATGTGGACGTGTGCCTTTTGCCGGCCGGGATACTGGGTCCGAGCGGTGGCGGCGGTGGTGGTGCTGGTGGTGCTGGTGGTGGTGCTGGTGGTGGTGGAAAGATGGGCGTTGTGGAGTTCATGGACATCGGCGCCGGAGGGTCCTTTTCCCCGGCCGACCGGGCTGTCTTCATCCTGGACACTTCGATCGATGGTGCGTGCGATCTGCTCCTGGCCGGGCATCGACCGTTTCTCGGCTCCTTTTCATCATCGTCGTCGCCATCGTCGTCGTCGTCGTTCACTTCCTGTCCTTGTGGCACCCGCCCGCCGGTCGCGGCTTTTCTTTTCGTCCCCCCCCCCCCCCGTTTTCAGTTACCGGGCCCCCCCCCCCCACCCAGCCTCCCTCCTTCCCGCGATATGCACAGCGCCCGCTCACATGCGCCCTTTCTTTGCCCTTTGCCTCGGCCTCCCCTCCCTCCCCGTTCCCCACCTGAAAAGCCCTGATTCTGGTGCACGATGTCTCCAATCCCCACACCTTCAGCAACCTGTGGAACTGGGTCAATGAGCTGGCCGAGACCTTGGAGTCTTCCTCGCGACAGCGTGCGTCAACTTCCCCCAGCCGCTGGAAATGCCCTGGGGCCCCCCTTGCCATGGTCACTGACACGCGCCGCCGTCCAGACTTCGGCCAGCCTCCCTCGGCGAGTGCCGGCCTGGGGCGCTCATTTCTCCGGATGCCGGTGCTTGTCGTTGGTACCAAGGTCGACCAGCGGCCATTTCTCTCCGGAGACCCGGATATCGAGCCTCCCTCATGGGTGTCGCAAAGCTCGCCACAGGGGCCCCGGTCCCCGGGGTCGCCCACTTCGGGGGGTCTCTTCTCGGGGGCCAATTCCCAGCGCCTGGCCAGCTCCCTGGACCATCACGCCCGGGCGGTGGGGCTGGCCTGGAAGCACCTGGTCGAGGCGGCCGGCCGCCTTTATGACGCCGCCTCCCCTGGGGCAGTTGGGCCACGCTCTTTCCCGCCCGCGGGACCCCCCGGCGCGCGGGTTGCCTTTCACCCGGGCCCCGAGGCCCCGGCGCATCTGAACCTCCCGCCTGGGGGGGCCCGGCGCGCGGTGCTGCTTCGGCACCGGCTGTCGGAGCTGGGTGGCGCGTCGGGCACCCTTCTCGCCGCGGCGGCCCGACTCGTTTCGGCCTTCCTGCTGGCCCTGGTTTGGGGCCTGGCCCGGCGTGTGTGGCTCCCCCCGGCCCGGCATGCTGCTGAGCACCTGGGACACATCTTCCCGGACTTGGCTTTCATTCAGCTGGTGTGTCCATGGGCCATCGCACATGCATGCACATGCCTCTCTCTTTCTCTCTCTCTCTCTCTCTCTCTCTCTCTCTCTCTCTACATGTCTCGCTTCCTACACACATGGCCATGCACATATGTGTGCCCGCACGCGCACGCACTCACGAACTCATCCCGGTCGCCGACTTGTCACTCCTGGGCTGTAGAACCTCCTCGATGATGGGAGCTACCTCGAGGCGTCGCCCGCTATCGAGCACTTCCTGCAGCGGGCTGCAGGGCAGCGGCGCAGTCGCCACTCAGGCCCAGTCCTGGGCCCCAGCGCGCCGGGAAGTGCCTGGACCCACACGCCCCCCGACCCCTCCTCGAGCCAGCCCTCGGACTTGGCTAGCCCGCCGCCGTCTGCCTCTTTCGGCGGGGATTTCCCCCCGGTGGCCCCTTCGCCGGGGTTTGCGCATTACCCGGCCCTCTTTCACCCCGGGCAGCCGGCCTCCCAGCAGCCGCCAGCCTACCAGCGCGGCGCCTCGGCCGCATCCTTCAGTGTATATACCTCGGCCGCCGGGCCCGGCAGCCAACAGGAGTCTCCGCGGACCAGCGGCACCGCCACACCGGTCACCTTTGGTCTGTACCATGGGCACTCGAGCACGGGCTACTCGTCGCCGGTGGCCGCACACGGTGGGCTGCTGCATCCCCAGCAACACCAGCACCAGCACCCATCATACCCACCACACGGCCGGCTGTGAGGCTGCCGCAATAAAGTGCTCCGGTGGAGGGGCCGGGGATCTCCGCGCCCGGCGCGCCGAAGATCCGGCCCCCTTGTCCGTTCTTCTTTTTTTTTTGCTCTATTCGCTCTGTGGACAGAGGGGAGGGGGGGGGGGATTCAGACAGTACAAGCAGAGCTCGTGCCTCGCATGCTCGTGCCCGAGCGCAAGGATCACCCCCCAAGGCAGCCGACGCAATTGTGCAGCGACGATCGGACATACCGAGCGCATGCGGCGCAATGCAGGGCCTCGCACCGGGGGCACTGGGCCACTTCAATGGCATTCTCGTCGGTAGCCAGCGGATCCATGTCGTCAGCGATGACAGTAGCCGTGGCCGAAGCGCCACCGGCGCCCTCGGCCGCCAGGAGCTTCTCCGTGGACGTTGACGCGCGCGAGATTTGCTCGGTGATGGCCCGAGCCAGCTGCTCCGGCACCAGCGGCGCCTGACAGGACCGGCACAGGCGCTCATCGCTACACAGCCAACGAGAAGAGGCCGCAGGACGGAAGCCACGACAGCGAGGATGGTGGCGGTGGCGGCGACATGGGCAGCAGCGAGGGGGATTAGACACGGAATGTTGGCGCAAGGGTGAAGTGAGCACCCGCCTCTCGGCCCGTTCGCCGGAATGCGCACCTCGACTCGACACAGGTCACTCGGAAGGTGGCCGACGCCGGGAAAAGGTGATGATACGCCCGAGCCAGGTGCGGCGCGGCGGCCAGCAAGGAGAGGCAGCAGACCGGGCACCGGGCGATGCCGGAAACAGTGCCAAGGGCACTGGCAGCCCCGCCGCCCCCAGCATCGGACGTGGCTCCGGTGGCCGCCAGGCTGGAAGTCAGGGCCCCAGCACCGAGGGCACACAGCAGAGCCCCGCACCGGGGACAATCGAAACCATTGTGGCCGGTGACCGGATCGACCGAGTCCTTTTGATTGGGAGCCGGCGCGGGAACCGGGCGCTGGTGGCTGGTAGATCCGAGCCCCCCCCCCAACCACCATCCCCACCATCACCACCACCACCATCCGGGAAAGGTTGCCCCCACAAGAATGTCACAAGGTCAACAAATGGCCGAGGGCAGGAGGGGAAAGGGCCAAAGTTGTGACAGGGCGCCCAACGTCCGCGTACCACACACACATGGCGCCGGCCGGGGTGGCGCGCTCTTGCGGGAAGCCGATCTCCATCAGCGGCCCGAAGAGGTCATTGACATCGACAAACTCCCGCAGCGGGTCCAGCGCGGCGGCCAGGGCCTCGGCGTCCGGTGACCGGGCAGCGGGCGGCTGCCCAAGCGGCAGGGCCGGGAGGAAGCCCCGCCCGGGCAGGACAACGCTTTCCTGCTCGGAGGGAGTGTCTGGGGAGGTGGCGGCCGTGGGGCTGCCCGGGGCCGTGGGCGTGGTCCCGGCAGGCGGTCCCAGGAAGGGCGGCGGCTCGACGTGGGCCATCAACAGCGCGGCCAGGGTCCCGTCATCGCCATCCTCATCGGCCGCGGCTTCGTCCTCATTGAGGACCGCCAGGCTGGGTGGCAGATGGGCGTACATGCGCGACACATCGGACCCATGGTATGAGGAGGGGGGGGCCGAAAAGTTGGACACCACCGAGTGCTGGCCGCGCGTTTGTTCGGCAATGAAGCGGAAGAGCCGGGTCTCGGCCGACAGGGCGACGAACGAAACGCGCACGCTGTCGGGTCCCGAAGGAGGGGGAGAGGGAGGGGGAGAGGGAGGTGGAGAGGGAGGTGGAGCAGGAGCAGGAGGAGGGTGAGTCGGTGGGCGAGGGGTCCAAGACAATCGACACACGGGGCATATCCAAGGTGAAGAGGCGGGAAAGAGGGAGAGAGGGAGAGAGGGAAAGAGGGAGAGAGGGAGAGAGGGAGAGAGGGAGAGAGGAGGAGGGGGAAGGGAATGGAGAAACAAAGAGGGGAATGGAGAAACAAAGAGGGGGATGGAGAAACAAACACGGGAATGGAGAAACAAAGAGGGGGATGGAGAGAGAAATCCCAGAACGCACCCGGCCTTCCGCAGGGACTCGGCCGCCGAGAAGACATCGCCACTATCGCAGGAGGACAGGGACGACACCACAAAGAGGACCTCGCGGCTGACATAGTCCCGATGCTGGGGCGGGGCGTGTGCATCCGGCGGCGCCCCCGCCCCATTGGGCCAGAGCATTTCCACGCCGGCCTGGTTGGGGGCCAGCTCGCGCAGCGCCAAGCGCAAGGCCGCCTCGGCCGAGAATTCCCCCTGCGGCGCATAGACACTGGAGGCGAAGGCCATGGTGCTGTGGGCCGAGGCCGAGGGCTGCAACGACCGGAGGGAGGAAATGAGATCGGCAGCCGGCGAGCCAACCGACACCAGGACTTCGGCACTGGCGCCGCCACTGCCACCGGCGATGGCGGCCGCCGCATTGCCGCCCACGCCGCCACCGGCCACCGCCAAGCCGATGCTGGCCAGGGGATTGCGCTCGCGGAATTCCCGCGTGAAGCGCTCCAGCTCGTGCAGCACATAGCCCAGCCGCGTGGACCCGGTGCCGGCGTGGGCCGAGCTGCTGGCCGATGCGCCGGAGGTCAGAGACGGCGCATCCCGGATGGCCATCGACTCGGACAGGTCCACAACTAGCAGAACACGCCGGAGCAGGGCCCGGCGAATTGGATTCCGCGAAGCGAGCACCTCCTCATTGGAACTGCGACCGAGGAGCCAATGTCAGCAGGGAAGGCATGGCGCGCGAGCAAATGGACAGACGAGCAAACGCATGAGGCACAAGCTGCAAGAGGGGAAACACACAGGCGAATTCGCGTCAGCCGGTTGTTGACCAGGGCCTGCTGGCGCTGGCGCTTCTTGAGGAGGGCCTCGGTTTCGGCGGACTTCTCCTTGCCGCCGTCCCAGGTTTTTTGGTAATCCTAAACCGGGTCACGGGGGGAGGGGGGCGGGGGGGGGGAGGATTCCCGAGTCAGTGCCAATGAGGGAGCCTCGCCGGGGAGGGGGAGAACAGGAAAAAAAAAAAGGAGGGAAGGAGACGGCATGGCAGAAAACGTACGGCCTCCCAGGCCTGCTTTCTCTGGTAACTGCCCCCCTCGCCATGGGCGGCGGAGCTGCTGGCATCATTGGTGTCGCCCTCGTCGTCGTGGCTGACATCGACAAAGACGTCATCCCCCGAGGCGGACATTGTTTAGGGGGAGGGGGACGGGAAGGACAATGGGCTAAAGAGGGGGAAGGCGGAGGAGAGGGGGGGAAGAAAGGACAAAGGCGGAGGCAGGAAAATGCGGAGCGGGAGGGGGGAGGGGGGAGCATTGCTGGCACAGCGAAGTCGGCCTCGGCCAGGGCGGGGTGCCGGCGGAAATATGATCCCAGCCGGCCTGCGGGCGGGTGCATGGGAAAAGCGCCCACAGGTGCCAACGGTCCCGCACGCCATGCCTGCGCCAGATCGCCGCCGGTCCTGCCGGATCCGCTGGCGAGCGGCCGCCCGCCCAAAGGCAAGCGACGCTGTGCGGCGCCCAGTCCCCACAGGCCAGGTAAATCCCTCCCCCCCCCCCCTCCCTCCCTCCCTCCCTCCCTCCCTCCCTCCCTCCCTCCCTCCCTCCCTCTCTGCGTCTGCTCTGCCACCGCCTTTTTCCTGTCTTCCCCTTCCTCCTCTGGCTGCGCGCTCTCTTTGCCGCCCTCCCCCGAAACCTCGGTGCCCTGCCATGTTCAAGCTTCCGGATCTTTCCGGGGTCCTGTCGACTGAGTCACAGACCGACGTGCCGGCCCCGGCGCCAGGCTCTACCCCGGGGCCTGCTCCTGCGGCCCAGGCAGCCCAGGCGGCCCAGGCGGCCCTTGCCTCCATCCGGAGCGTGGGCTTCCTTTCCGGCGGCCGGCCGACAGCCGACGCTTCGGGGCCGTCCGGTGCCGAGAAGAGCGACGACGATGATGAGGATTTCTTCGGCCCAGCAATCCCGAGCGGGCTCACCACGACTGCCGCCAGGCCGAGTGCCAGCGTGGAGCCAGGCCCCGGCCCTCCGGAGGAGCCTCCGAAAGACGAGAAATCCGGCAAGCGCCGGCGCAAGCGCCGCTCCGACGCGCCGCCCGCCGTTCGCCTCCCCCTGGCCAACGTTCTGGCCCTGCCGGCCGGCGACAAGGTACACCCCCCTGCCGGCTGGAGCTGCCGAAGTGCTTGCTGTGCTTTTTCTTTCAGCCTTCGCTGACGCCCCTGCGCCTCTCTTCCACTTCTCCCGGCCCCGCTGTCCCTCGGTCTGTGGAACCCCCTCCCTGGGTGGATCTTACGCTCGGTCTTCCCAGTCGGTCCAGTGCATTGTGGCTGATGGTCCTGGGTCACGGACTCTGACCGGTGGCTTTGATCGGGAGATTCGATTCTGGCCGCTGGATCCGATCCCCCCGTCATTGGCCCCCCGGTATGTGCTGAACCCCTTTGACCTGCAGGCTGTGGAGAGCTCCCACCGGCTGGCCATCGGCGCTGGGGAGGAGTCCGCCCCCATCCGGGATATGGACCTTGGTCCGGATGGAGCGCTGCTGGCCGTGGCCCCGGCGGCCGTGCGAGCGCGCATCATCGACGTGCGCCAGCGGGGCGCCGTCTGGACGACCCCTCGCGGTGACATGTACATCCGTGATCGTGCCCACACCAAGTGCGTGCGACGTTGTCCCACTCCTCTTTCCGCCTTCTTTTTCTCCCCAGCTGACACCTGGACAACCGGTGCGTGCGCTGTGCATGTGCTTGCCATCACTTTCGCGCGCGCGCGCACACACACACACACACACACACCGATAGGGGCCATGTTGCCAGCATCACATCCATTCAGTGGAATCCCATCAACCGGGAGGAATTTGTCACCTCTTCCGAGGATGGCACGGTCCGGTGCGTGTCTGCTCCTCTCTTCGGTTCGGGCACAGCCTTCCCGTCTCGTGGGCTTGGCACCCCAGAAAACGATCACTGACATGCTCGCCTGCGCGGGATATCGCACTGTGCGCATGTGTGCGCGTCCTGGCCTGTCCCAGCACATGGTCTATGGTGGTCCCTCGGGCCCAGAAGCGAGTGATTGTCCTACGGGCCAGCACTGGAGCTGCTCATACCATCCGTGCCAACCAAGTCCGCTACTCGGTGGATGGCACACGCCTGGCCGTCGGTATGTGCTTTGCTTTCGACAACACTCGTGTTTCCTTTGCCTTCTCCGGATACCAGGTGTGCAGGTCCCATGGAAGACCGGATACTGACCCCCTCATACACACACACACACACACACACACACACACACACACACAACTCTTCCAGCCACCAATCTCGGCGAAGCTCGCATCTACTCGGCTACCGGACAGGGCCACCGGCCAGACATCGTGCGTATGCTCGCCTGTGGCTCTCTCCCTCGTGCTCTCTCCCCGCCTCCCAGTGCGCGCCGGGCCACCCCACTATTCTGACTCTCTACCCTTCGTCCCTCCTTCGGCCCTGCCCTGCTTTCTTGGCGATGGCGCCCCCCCCCCCCCAGGTCTTCGAGGATGCATATACCTTCGGCGATGAGCACACCGCCATCGCCTGGCCGAATGCCCCCGGCGAGCACTATCTGGCCACTCGCGGCATGGATTCCATCAAACGTGCGTTCCCTCCACGTCTCACGCCCCGCTGCTGCCTTCCTGCTTCGGTAGGCACGTCCCACCCTCTCGGCGCTGACACACGAACACGTCCATCATCCTGCTGCGGTGGTAGTGTGGGATATCCGTAATCCGAGCAAACCGGTGGCCGATCGCCCGACACCGGAATACGCTGCCACCGTCAAATTCCTGGCCCACTGCCCGATCGCCTTCTCCCCGAACGACACCATGCTGGCTGCCGGCGGCCTGGCTGGGACGGTCGATGTCCTGGCCGTGCCCGATCTGCGAGTTCTCGGCTCCAGCCCCGGTGCGTGGTGGCATTGGACGCCGCGAGAGTCCACCATGCGATGTCTTGCCCCTGCTCCGGCCCCCCCCCCTCCCCCCCCTCCCCCTTCTCCTCCTTCTCCCCCGTCAACCTGCCCCTCTCGCGAAGCGCAAGCCGAAGTCTCACCTGGCGCCCCCTCTGCCCTCTCCTCCTGACAGCCATCGATGAGGACCTGTCGCCCGTCGTGTCGGTCCTTTGGCACCAACGCCTGAACCAGATCTTTGCCGGGTGCCAGTCGGGTCGCGCTGGCATCCTCTTTGATCCCTCCTGCTCGGTGCGCGGGGCGCTGACATACACCGGCACACCGGCCCGGCCGCGGCGCATGGAGGCCGTTGTATCTGCCGACACCGGGGCCATCGATCGCACTCGCATCGTCGCGCCGGATGCCCTCCCTCTCTTCCGCGATGAGCATTCGCAACAAGCACGCGCGGCCGCCCGTGCCCAGGCCAAGCCGGCCAAGCCGCCGAAGGCCCTTGGCCGGGCGCGCGGTGGCCAAGCCGGCGCCATCAGCAACACGCACTTTGCCCATTTCGTGGCGCAGTCCCTGCAGACCGGCCAGCCGGATGCCGGCAACTTCGACGACCCGCGCGAGGCGCTGCTTCGCCATGCGAAGGAAGCCGAAGGTACGTGTATCTGTCCGGTTGGCTCTTTGGCAAACTTTCATCTTGCCCGTGCCCCCC